AAGATGTGGAAAAAAATCAAAAACATGTATTATGAGAATACGTTTTACATACATATTTCATTGTAAAACGTATTCTCATAATACGTTTTACAATGAAAAACGTATTCTCATAATACGTCTTTTTAATTTTTTTCCACCCGAAATTGTTTGTGTATTTTTTGTTCCAGCACTTTATTTTTTTAAAATTTTGAGGTAAAAAAATCCTCGTCTATTACATTGCTTGATGTTTAATCAGTCATACTATCTCAATATTACAGCATATAATTTCATACTCAAATGCTATAAACTTTTAGATACAACATAAATAATTAAGAGGGGAAAAATTGCAGTTTTAGTCTACTAACTTCGACTATTTTCCACTTTTGTCCATTAACTTATCGTGGTCCGTAATTGATCTAATAATTCTTTAATTTCAGCCAATTCGTTCCAAATTACCCTAGTAACTCTAAAATTTAAGAGTTATTGGACCAAAATTGAATCCCAATAAGTTTTTACGGCCAAAATGAAAAAACATCCTAATTTAGTCGATCAAAACTGCAATTTTCCCAATAAAAGTAAGACAACTTATTAGACAATCTAATAACAATATTTTGTACAATTTTGATGAAACTATAGTACTATACTAATATACGTAACCTAAAAAAAAAAAAGTATTTTTACCCAAACAAACCTACGTACTTTTCCTAGGTAAATGATACGGTCTCGTTACGGAACCACTCCGTCAGGAATTGTAACCGTTAGATCATCATGTAACTATCGAGGATAGTTGATCCAACGTTTACAAATTCTGACGGAATAGTTTCGTAACGGGACCGTAGCATCTCCGCTTTTCCTATTTAAAATAAAATGAAAAAAACTTGTCCGTATTTATCTCCCATTTTTAACCTTTTCTTCTTTATTTCATGCCACAACACCTAATTTTTCTCGTTCTCAGCGAAGAAAAAAAGAAGGTTACATTTCCATGCACACCAGCAAAAGCAGCTGTCAGCTGGTGAACGACAAATTGTTTGTTCCCATGTATCCAATTAGATTTTCCGATGTTAACGGTCTTAAGAGACCCGTACCCGTTTTCGGGTCCGAACCCGATAACATCAAAACTGTAACCACAATGAGCTTCTGCGTAGTCGCCGGCTGCATTAGACTCGACGGCTCAAATAACACCGGCCCAGAAAAAACGGCGGCCTCGAGAAAATTAGGCAAAAACCCTAGCCGGAGTTTCGGAAAACCGGAAAGTGGGCCGGCGAGAGCTTGTGCACGTGGCCACTGGAAACCCTCGGAGGATGCTAAGCTCCGGGAGCTCGTGGCTTTGTACGGCCCGCAAAATTGGAAAACCATAGCCGAAAATCTCCAAGGAAGATCAGGTACGTTTATTATTATTATTATTATTATTATTATTATTATTATTATTATTATTATTATTATTATTATTATTATTATTATTATTATTATTATTATTATTATTATTATTATTATTAT